CGCTTCATTTTCATCGCCGAAGACCTCTGCACCAAGTGGGTGGAGGCTAAAGCTGTCAGGTCCGCTACAGCTAGGGAATTCACGAGATTCTTGGATGAGAATGTCGTGGGGCGATTCGGCACCCCGAGGACCGTCGTCAGCGGCAACGGTCGCATTTTCACCGGCAATACAGTGCAGCACTACTACCAGAGAAATCAAATGGAGTCCCTCTTTACCGCCGTCGAACAGCAACGTGCTAACCCCGTGGAGAGACGGGTCCAGGAGCTGAAGAAGGTCCTGCGGGCCCTTACTTTGAATGAGGCTACCAACTTCCAGTCCCAGGCCAGTGGGAAATCCCCGAGTACAATAGGCAGCGGGAACGACCAGTCCGTCCCGGAAGGGAAATCATCAGAGCCAGGCAACTGGACTTCCAGGCCAGATGACAGGCGAGCCACTCCACCAGCCGTCACCTTCACCGTCGGCGACCAAGTCATGGCACGACTCCGCCAAAGACGCCCCACCCCCTTCCGAATCGCCTGGTCAGGTCCTCATCACGTCCATCGCGTGGTAAGCGATGTCCTGTACGAAGTTGAAAAGGACGGGAAACTCATCACATATCACGGAGACAACCTCCGCCCAGCACCACCGGGCAATCCAGTCAATGATGACGTCTCCTCGGACGAGGAAGACGAGATGCCACCACCGGAAGCCGCAGAAGCCGAGGACCAAGGTCTGGATGACCTACACCCCGGCCGGCCAATAGAGCCACGACTACCCCATACCGAGGCCCAAGACCAGGACGGCCACCTATGGACCATGGAGGGGTCCAACGTCTGGACAACGACCGCCCTCCATATCCACTGATAGCCTACCCTGAGGCGAAACCAGGCCCTAGCCATGCTAGGCCACATGCAGAGACCAAACCCCTAAGCCAGCCACCACCCGCTGTAGGCGGTCCAACCAAACGACCGGCCCAGCATTTTCCCGGACACCTTGATATAAGGCGCAAGCGACGTCGAGTGAGGCTCGTCGCTATTTCTCCGCCGCCCACCAAAAGGACTCAGCAGCCACATCCCCACGAGAGGCCAGGGACGTCGGCCAACCCCCAGCAGAGCCAACCAGCCGCCAGCCGGAGCTATTGTCGCCGCGCGCCTGCTCTAAAAGCATCGCCGGGCCCTCCGGCGCTTGCGTCCGGGTTCATTTCATGTGACTCATCGGGGAATTCCGTTAACAAGTTAATATGTGGACGGATTCAGTCTCCATTATGCCCTACTCGTACCTCCATGCCATTATCTTGATGTTCAGTGGCCACAAATGCCCCTTCAAGCGACTCTGTTGACGTCAATGACTCATGCAGGTGATCGTCCATTCCAATCTCGGCGGGCTGTAGCGCGCATGCGCGGGCTCGCTCTCTTGAAGTCATTTTACAGGCAATAACGAGATAACATACAGTTAGGACAAGTTTGATTTATTTCAAATTTATTAACCACCGGGGTTTGGATACGTTACTGACTTAGAAAAACAATGTCTTTATTAGGTATGAATAGTCACTAGTTCAAAGTTATGCAATTCACTTTATGTCTCTATTAAGAATAAGAATCTAAATTTAGTCTCAATTATGTTCTAAGCACTTTACGTGTAAATCACTAATAGGAAAGTCTTATTTCGCTCAAGTTCTATGTCACAGAAAACCGTACAGAGAGTTCTCACTTACCGTCGTAGCTTATGATCACCCTTCCAGCGTCAGCCTGACTCCTAGCTCGATAATCACTGCACTTGGGTTTATACAAAGTTAAGTAATTTATTATTAATAAATTTACTTGGAATAATCAAAATTCACTAAAAAGTTAGTTTCTACTTAATTCTCAATTTATCTCAAAAACAATCACTAATATTTACTAATAAAGTTTCTTATGATTTTTTGTTTCAGATTCTATCTATCAAGACCGGTACAGAAGGTACCGTGATACTGAGAAATAACACACCAGGATCCTCCAGATGAATGTATTACAGGTAAGTACTTTACACGTTTCTTTCAGCTTTGCCAAGAGAACGCCTAGGTAAGTCTTTGGTATAATCTACTTCGCGAATTTACTATTCACAAATTTCGCTATGAATTTTCTCCCGAAAAATTTCTCTTTTTCGTAACTAGGTAACTACTCAATATGACACGCGTTCCACGCGGCTCTCCACCACCTCTAGTGGTGTCGTAGATAATAATATCAACAAAGAAAACGAACAAATTTTTTGGCTAGTTATAATTGCGGTCTCGCAATCACCCAATATTCGCTTTAAAATAATCTAAACTCTTTCAATCTACAGAAATCAACGTTCAACACCGATGCACGTAGGCTCGAAGACATATCATAAGTGCTCGCAAACCTAATTCCGCCCGGCGTATTTATCTAATCTGGCGGACGGGAGGCTCCGCCCCAAAACGTCGTTTGGACCAATCCCAGGCCACGGAAGTTAGGTTGCTTTAATAAAACTATTTCACGTTCAATATTTTGCAGATTTCGCAAAAATCGTCGCCGCCGACGACACCACCCCCCTTGAAGACGACTATTCCTAGGCGTTTCGTACAGTTAGCAAACTTTACAATTATATACGTATATGTTCATACACACAGATATATTACGCAACAACAACAATGCTATGGATACAACCCTACGATTGGGACCGCCGTGGTAGGTTTTCTTGGGTATCCATCCTCCTCCAAGTCCTCGATGGTTACCCGGTCCTTCCGGGTCACATCTCCAGCGACTTCCATAACCGCTTCTCGCTCGTCAACTGCAAAAGAGGGGCCAGTATTAATGACAGGGTTAGGAGGAGGAACATATACTTCCCTGCTTAAGTAAATTCCCGCAATAGCTCCTCCATCCTGTCGCATACTCCTGGCCGCCTGGTCTGCATCCGCACTCGTACGGTCTTCTCGGGTAGTAGTTCGGGTGTCATCGTGGTCTTCCAGTCGTTGATTTGACATAGTTTTTCGGGGCATCCCTGAAGGTCCAGGTTGAGGGGCAACGGTCTCCCCGCTGTTCTTTTCCTTGGGATCTCTAACCTTCTCATTGGAGGATTTACTGGTTCAGGATCAGGATCGGTCACACTATCTTCCTCTTCGTCAGTATCGGATTCGGTCAGACTATTTTCCTCTTCAACAGGTGGATCGGTCAATTGATTGGGTTCTGGGCCATCTTCTTGCCTGGGTAGGTGCATGGGGTCTTCACCATCATCTTCCACTTGTGGACCCCCGGTCCACGGCCTAAGATCATCAATGTGTAACAACACCTGGGATGTCAGACGATTGACTTCGTAGACATTCAGCCCACAAACCCTCACAATAACATACGGTCCAATCCAGGGAGGCCCCAGGGGAGACCGTACACCCACCGGGTTCCGGGTCAGTACTCGATCCCCAACCCGGAACTGAACCTTGGGTCGATCATCCCTGGGGTACTCCTTTCTATTGAAGGCTTCTTGATTCCTGCGAATTTCTCGCAATCTTTCCTCTCGATGGATCGGATCATTTCTAACCGGCCTTCGGACTTGAGGGTGTTGCCATTCACCTGGTTGGGTCAAGGGGGCCCCCAATAATGCGACACTTGGGCTCACGCCCGTGGACGAATTAACTCGATTTCTTAACGTAGCCAAGGCTTGTTCCACTAGTTCGTCCCAGCGATTTTCGTTGGTCTGTTGGCAGCCAATCCGGAGGAGTTTTTTCAGTTCCTGATTCCTCCTTTCCACCGGATTGGCGCGCTGATGATAGACTGGGGAGAAGTATTGTATTATATACTTTTGTTGGAGATATCTTCCCCACAAGTTGCTCTTAAAAGTGGGGCCATTATCGCTGATAAGCATCTCGGGATACCCCCATCTTTTGAATGTTTGTTCACAAAAATTTATCAAAATCCTAGGTGTCATTTTTGGTATTGCTATGGCTTCCGTCCATTTCGAGCAAACGTCGACTAATACTAACAGATATCTGTTTTTCTTGGTTGTCATCTCATAAGGTCCCATCACGTCCACACTTACGACCTACCACGGGCGTCTTGGGGGGCGGGGCTTTAATGGAGCGCGTTCTTGCCAGGCACCGCCATGTTTAGTCGCTGCACAGATAAGACAGTGTCGTACGTATGTCTTTAATTGCTTCTTCATGGCGGGCCAATAGTATAAGGACGCGATCTTTCTTATCGTCTCGTCCCTTCCAGGGTGTCCCGCCTCGACACTATCGTGGTACTGATGTATAACTTCTCTCCAGAAATTGATGGGAACTACTAGCCGCAGACCTTCTTCACCATCACCCGCATACCACACTAAGCCATTCCGAACAACATACTGGTCTCTTAACGTCTTCTTCCATGGGAGGTCGGCTTCTTCTTCGCCGGCTTGAAGACGTTGGATACGTAATCGGGTTTCTCCATATTCTGGGCTTTCCTGTTGGGCGGTGATTATCCGTTCATATAACGGTCGTTGAACTTCCTCATCAATTTGTGTTAAAGTCAATTGTTGGACGCAAATGGGGGGTACTCTTGAATGGGTGATAACAGTCGTTCCGTCTTCTTGACCAGCAGACTGCAATATTAACGGTATATCTTTTTTTTCTTTTTCAGGTGGCGGCGCGGGCGGACTCATCCTTTCTTCTTCCAAAGGGAGCATTTCCTCATTACCAGGATTCCTGCTCATGAAATCTGGCAAATTGTTGGTACGACCGGGACAATGCTCTACTTGGAACTTAAACTCCTGGAGGAGCAGGGCATACCGGGTAAGTTTGGCTCTTTCATCTTGATATTTGCTTAACCAACACAAGGCCCGACTATCCGTGCGGAGTAAAAATTCTCTTCCTTCTAGCAATGGACGATATTTCCGGCAAGCCCACACCACTGCTAACACCTCCTGTTCGTTAGCGTGGTATTTCGCTTCCGCTCGCGAGAACTTTGCACTTGCGCAGGATATCACCAACTTCTCTGCCTGCTCTCCCTCTTGGTATAAGACCGCGCCCATCCCCACCATACTCGCATCGGTTTGTAAAACGAATCTTTTATTCGGGTCGGGTCTATGTAACTTTAGGGGGTTCTTTAGCACTTCTTTCAATTGTCGAAAGGCTTCTTCAGCTTTAGGGTTCCACTGGAACTTCCTTTTTCCCAATAAGTCCGTCATGGGGCCTGTGAGTTGTGAAAATCCCGGCACATACTCACGCAGCCAGTTTGCAATACCTAGAAATCGTTGCAACTCCTTAGTCGTCGTCGGTGTTTCAAAATCCTGGATTTTCTGTAAGTGTTTCCCCTGAGTTTCGTTGTGAGCCGCTGTAACTTTGTATCCCAGATAATTTAAGGATTCCATGCCAAATTTACATTTTTTGACAGCACACCTCAGGGACACCCATATCATAAGTGCTCGCAAACCTAATTCCGCCCGGCGTATTTATCTAATCTGGCGGACGGGAGGCTCCGCCCCAAAACGTCGTTTGGACCAATCCCAGGCCACGGAAGTTAGGTTGCTTTAATAAAACTATTTCACGTTCAATATTTTGCAGATTTCGCAAAAATCGTCGACGACACTATACGCAGGCTCGGGAGCTCACTTCGATTCAGGGCATCGTTGTGCATAAAGCTCCCCAGAGAGGCTTTGGCTAAGTTGTCCTGGTGTACTTAAAGATAAGAATTCGTTTTATTGATAGGTCTGGGACCTAGGTAGTAATATTAAGGGGAACACATAAGTTTATTTTCTTGGATAAGAAAAAAAGAGAAAAAAGGGAATAAAGGAAAAAGAAAGTTCCTTTGGGAAAATAAAGAAAAATAATAAAAAAAGAAAAAGGCCAAAAGAAAATTGGGAGAAAAACAAACATAAATCTCCAAGGGAAAAGAACAACCATAAACCAAGTTGAAAAGAGATCTTAGATCCAAGTTTGAAGTTAGCTGTAAATAGCTTCACCCCCAGTTATCTTAGGATAACTTATAAAGAATTCGAGGACTTCGTCAGCATTTTAAAAAGAATTTCGCAAAGGTTTCGCGTCTGACTATGGATCCAGGTTACATCGCATCGTACGGCGTCGGTGACCAGCGCGCACGAGAGATAGTCTTAACCGGCATTCGAGCTAGCGGGGCACGCTTAACCGCGCCGGGGGTGGACTTCGCCACCCCCAATTTACGGCATAGGGGAGCGGCGGCGTTACACCGTGTTTTGCCTCGGTAGCTCACTCTCAGTCGAGACTTGACACGAGAAGCATCTCTGAGTTGGTCTTCACACTTGTATTATAGTGTTTGAATCGAATAGCCTCTCATTGTCCGCTCCTTTAGTGACGAGTAATCGCTACCAATTTTTAAATAGTAGTAGTACTGAGTATCAGCGACCCTTCGGGGTATATTAAAGCTGTTCCCCTCAGCTTGTGGCACGGTTTGGTCTGCCATTCCACAAAATAGGGAAAAAAGAATTCGTTAACAAGTTCCCCTTTACGTATTAATTAAGGGGAACCCTACACCTATCGTTCCACAACGCGAGCCGAACCCGACACCCGCAGAAGCAGCCGCGGCCGTGCAGAAACGCTTCCTGCACACATCCAGCGTGTCCTGGGGATTCTTAGGGATACCTCCAACCACGTCACCATCGCCAAACGGGAACCACCGTGTTCGTGGACAACATCCAGCTACTTTCCAAAAATCCAAACAGAAGCATGTCATACCCACATTTTTGTATAATTTTAAAATAGAATAGTATAGAATTTCCAATAAATTTACGTGGTGTCCCTAAATTTTTACAGTGGATAGTGAGAAACCAAATCGATAGTTCCTCTTTGTCTTAGTAAAAATAATTTTACACCTCGTCTAAATTTGCTTCTATTGTTGATTCTAAAAATGTTCAGGCGCGTAAACATTTTGCTTTAATTCAAAATTTATCTCGTTTGCTGTCGACAAACAGCTGATGTAAAACAAAGTTACTTTGCGAAAGTTGTTTGAATCATGTAAAAACAACAAATAGCCCAGAAAAGCACATGATAGAATGTCAAAATTTAAATAAAACAAAAATAACATTACCTTCCAAAACTCGAATCACTTTAAAATTTAAAAATTTCAAAAATAAAGAAAAGGTTCCCTTCATAATATACGCAGACTTGGAAAGTATACTTGAAAAATATAATGATCCTAAGGCGACCAATACAAAAAGCAGGTATCAAAAGCATGATCCATTTAGTTTGGCCTACTATTTAAAATGTTCATATGATGACAATATTTCCAAATTTGAATCATATTCAGGTAAAGATTGTGTCCAATGGAACTTGAAATAATAGCTTTTCAAATTAATAATATTTTATATAATAGGCTTCCTTTAAATATGACTGCTGAGGGAGAAAAAGAATTTCAGTTATCAAGATTTTGTTCGAAACCATTTATAGATACAGAAATAAAGGTTAGAGACCATTGTGGACTTACAGGCAAATATAGAGGTTGTGCTGATAATTTTTGTAACATTCATTATCAACATAGTCATGCAATAACAGAAATTTTTTAGAATTTAAGTGGATATGACAGCCATTTTATTATTAAAGCTCTTAGTGTAGAAGTCATGGGAAATACAAACTTACTTCCTGTAAATAAAGAAAAATATATCTATTTACAAAGTATATTAACAATACAAAATTTAATTTTAGATTTCTAGACTCACTCAGATTTATGGCACGAAGTATTGATAAATTATGCTTTTATTCAGAAAAAGATCAAAAAGTTATAACTAGAAAGTATTGTCGCGAAGATACAAAACTACTTCAACGAAAAGGTATATTTCTTTATGACTACCTCGATAGTTCGAATAAATTGCTGGAAGAACAATTATCGCCTAAGGAAAGTAAAATTTTAGTAAGTTTTTAATAATATCAATAATTCTTCGACGCTGACTATAAACATGCCAGTAATGTATTTTACATTTTATATTAAAAATTTACGAATATGCCGAACTTTATCTAAAAACAGATGTTCTCCTTTTAGCTAATGTATTTTGATGTGAATAATTTATATGGTTCAGCAATGTGTTCTGCTTTACCACAAAGTAATTTTGAATCGGTAAATGATATACATTTAGTACCTCCAACATCAAAATCTAAAATTACAAAATTACTAACCACATTGATAAAAAAATATATTAAGTATTCATTATCGCAATTTAAAACAAACTACTCAGGTAAATATGGTGCAAATTATTATATTTCAAAACCAAATTTTCAGTTGTACAATTTTTGATTAAAACATGGTTATAATTGAAATAAAACGATTTAACGTTACCTTTAATAAACCTACATACAGGGTGTTAAAAAAAGAGTGTAAAATATTTAAGGAGGTAATAGTATGAACCAAAATAAGCAGAAAAGTCGCAATAAACATGGGTCCGCAAAGTAACGGTTGCGGAGATATGGAATGTTTTGTTTTTTAGCCCCTTTTTTATTTTGCAAAAACGTTAAAACGCGTATTTTCTTATAAATAGTTGGTTGATGTTTAGTGAAATAAACAGTACGCATTTGACAGTTGTTCTCAGTGCACAACTTTTCTTTATTACATTATCAATCATTAGTTTACAATTATTTTTCGAGGATAATAAGACATTATTTTTAACGGTAGTTTGAGACAGATGTCCCTTACATTCCTCGATAACTTTAGCTGGGTCTTTACGGGACATTAATATTTTGTTATTGTCTAGTTGCACAGTCAACCTGTAATTGTTCTTTGCAAGCACAAAATTACAGTTCGTGTTATCAATTACGGAGCACCTATCCTTGGTTAGTTTGCTTGCACATAGTACCTGTTTTTCAATTGTTGCATACACTTCGTTTGTCCAAAATTCTTCGATGGCACTTAAAAGTCTGTATTTAGCCGGCGGTAGTAATACTTCATCACCTTTTCCAGGTATAGGATACACTCTTTGATAATTATAGGGATGAGGGGATAGTATAGGGATATACAATATACATGTTATTATTTTATTGACAGATAAGATTTTGAATTTTGAAAATTCTA